CTTCCAAACCATGATGAACGATATCCTCCAGGATTTCATCAACCAGGAGGTTGTCATCTGTTACATGGATGACATCCTCATTTTTACAACTACCCTAGAGGAGCACCAGAGGGTCGTCTGAGAGGTCCTGGAGACGCTGCAAAGGAGGAAGCTCTTCCTGAAGCCAGAGAAGTGCAAGTTCGAGCAGATGCAGATCAAGTACCTTGGACTTGTCATCTCTGAAGGAAGTGTCACAATGGACCCCATGAAGGTCCAAGGAGTCCTTGACTGGCCCACCCCAACCAAGCTAAAGGAAGTACAGTCCTTCCTAGGGTTTGTGAACTTCTACCGCCAGTTCATAAGAGACTTCTCTGAGAAGGCCCACCTGCTTCATGCACTGACCCGGAAAACCAAGGTCTGGAACTGGGGCCCAGATGAAGACCACACCTTCCATACCCTTAAGGAAGCTGTCACCACTGCCCCTGTCCTCTCCTTCCCCACCAATTCCGGCTGCTTCAGGCTCGAGTGTGATGCCTCCAACTTCACAACCAGTGCAGTTCTCTCCCAGCTCCAGTCGGACAGGGAGTTCCACCTGGTAGCGTTCATGTCCAAAAGCTTCACGGATGTGGAACGCAACTACAACAAGGAGATGCTCACAATTGTCTGAGCCCTTGAAGAGTGGTGGCACTTCCTGGGAGGTGCCAAGGAGAAGGTCGAGGTTTACATGGACCACTGCAACCTGGGGTACTTCCACATGGCCTAGAGGCTGAACCAATGTCAAGCATGGTGGTCCCTCTTCCTCTCCCACTTCTACTTCACCCTCATCCACCACCCAGGGAAACTCATGGGGAACCCGGACACGCTCTCACAAGGGGCTGACACTCCTCCAGCCAGGCTGGTTTGAGGCCTGCATGACAGAGGCAGTCTCAGTGAAGGGTGAGGAAGCAGATATTCTGGAGAGGATACAAGAAGCGAAGGATCATGATGAACGGGTGAAGGCCATGAGGGAATTGGGAGAAGGGACGCTGAGGTCGGATGAGTGGGAAAAACAGGGAGAGTTGGTCCTCTACTGGGGTAGGGTGTATGTTCCGAAAGACCCACAACTCCGCCACGATCTGGTACGGCTACACCACGATGCATGGGCACGGGGCACCCAGGGCGATGGAAAACCTTGGAGCTCATCTCCCACGACTACTGGTGGCCTCGGATGGCAGAGTACATCGGACAATATGTACATGGATGCAACACCTGTAACCATGTCAAAACCTTCCCCACACAAAAGGTTGGGAAGCTCACCCCAAATAAAGTCCCCACCCACCACTGGCAGGTGATCTCAGTAGACATGGTGGGAGAGCTCCCAGAGTCGAAGGGATATAATGCCATCCTAGTTGTAGTGGACCACCTGTCCAAACATATCCATGCGATCCCTACTATGACATCCATGGATTCGGCTGGTATCGCCTAGCTACTCCTGGAGCACATCTGGAAGCACCATGGGCTCCCCAAGGAGATCCTCAGTGATAGGGGAAGCGCCTTTGTCTCATGCTTCTCAAGGGAACTCACAGACCTCTTGGGGGTCAAACTAACCCCTTCAACACCCTACCACCCCCAGACTGACAGACAGACAGAACAGGTCAACCAGGAGATTGAAGCCTATCTCTGGGTGTTTGTCAACCACTGCCAGGACGACTGGGCAGACTGGCTCCCACTGGCAGAGTTTGCCTACAACAACCACATCCACTCCTCCACCTGTCGAACCCCCTTCAAGCTTGACACTGGGCAGCACCCCAGGATGGGGATGGAACCCACACATATGTCTGAGGTAGAAGCCACTGATGCTTTCTCATCCAGGATGATGAAGATGCAGGAGGAGGTGAAGGCAGCTCTGGAGCATGCAGTGGACGAGATGGCCCGCTACTACGACTGAGGCTGGGAGGCAGCCCCAAGTACCAGGAAGGTGACTGAGTCTGGCTCAGCACCCAAAACTATATGACCAACTGTCCGACCAAGAAGCTGGATCATAAGTGGCTAGGTCCCTTCAAGGTCGTCAAAGTCGTCTCCCCGGCTGCTGTCAAGCTCCAGCTCACCACACGGCAGAAGGGAGTACACCCAGTTGTGTCTGTGACGAACATAAGACCCCACCGCCCAGATGAGATTGCAGAACGACCCCCTGACCCCTTCCCAGGCCTGGAACTCATAGATGGAGAAGAGGAGTACGAAGTTGAGAAAGTATTGGACTCTAAATGGCTATGCTGGAAACTCTGGTATCTGGTAAATTTCATGGGCTGGCCAAGCTCAGAGAACCAATGGCTCCAGCGGGACCACTTAGCCCATGCCCCTGACCGGATTGAGGAGTTCCACAGGATGCACCCCCAGGCTCCAGGAAGAGAGAGGGAGAACCACCTGGCCACTTTGAGGTGAAGTGGCTTAAGGGGGGGGTGATGTCAGGGCACACCCGCCTGACCGGCCCCAGCTGACCCGGTCCCCTGTCACCCACCTGACCCGGTTCCCCGCTACCCACTCCTTCCCTACTTCCTCCTCCCTTTTCTCTTCCTCTCTTTCTCCCTCCTTTCTCTTTTCTTTATTTCCTTACTTATTACATGGACGACTTCCCTCCTATCAGTGTACCATTGGCCCAGCTGCAGTACAACACACCCGGACCTGCCGGGCAGCCTCCTGCACACTGGGCACTCCTGGGATCTCTTGTGGAGATACCCAGATGGACATGGCTGTGTGCATAGATGACGTGGCGTTAACTACATGTATATAAACACAGCCTAAGTGGGAATTGAGAAGCAACCTTCTTCTCACACTTCCCACTTTAGGCAAGTAGCTTACATTCCCCTTGTTAATAATAATAACACACTTCCCACTTTAGCCTAAGTGGCCAGGGACCCTTGTCTGCTTCAGGCCTGTTGTTATGCATGCCTGCATCACACCCTACTGGGCCCTCAGCCCCAGGTGATATACCCGGACGCTCTCGACCCCGGGTCAGTCCCTGACAGACACAGGTTTTCACTCTTCTCCCCTGTCAAATTACAGCTCTATACTGCCTAACTTGAGGATAGCAGGAGTCAACACCAAGGTCCGAACCTCAACTGACCTTACTGTCAAAGACCAGGTTGAGACGAAGGAGTGTCTCCATGGCAGAGGGCTTCGGCCTCAGCGACTTATGCCAGGAGCGCTGTGCCAAGTAACATGTCCATGCCCTAACTTACTAAACTGGCAACCAGAACTGAAGGGGGTAAACTCTAGTCGATTTTATTACTGAGGTGTAACCTATGTACAAGTTGAGTATATATATAGTTACAACAAGGGCGGGTCCGCAAATGGCAGAGCCAAGTGGAGCGGAACTAACAGGGTTAGACATTAGCTGATTGAATATTACCAACGAGTCAGGTTACAGGGTTAACGGAAAGGCAGGCAATAACCCAGAAATGGAAAGGAGGGATAGGCCCGAAGGTGGGCTTTGCAGGGCAAGTGAGTGTATTGCCCAGTGGAGGCAGGGGTGCACTAGCGGACATCGGAGCTGTCCAGAAGCCTTTGGGGCTCCGTACTTAGGGAGGCATAGGTAATAAATTGAAAGGAGGGGGTGGTGACCATCGAGGGGTACCGAGGGGATTGCGGAATATGGGAGCTCCGAGGTTAGTGAAGAAGGAGCAGAGGTAGACCGGAGGGATCGGAGTGAGGGGAGTTGACAGCCGGAGATGGATATGACACTTACAGTTGATTGGGGGGATCCTTGTCATTAACCATGGTGCACTAGCAACACACTAAGCACCTCCAGTGGATTTCAGTTAAATACAAAGAGTGGTCCTTTTTAATGATATCTATAACGAGATTGGAGGCAAACATAGTGCATTCTGTTAGGTGCAGGGCTGGGAATGATGCCAACGACAGATTTCGAGCTTACCGAATATGCCACCTATGGCAATAAATAGGAAGTAGAACACCCAAGGAATAGAGGACAGGTCTGTAGTGTAATGTATGTGTTACAAAAATGGGGCCGGAAGCACCCATTTTCGTCCATTCTGGTGCAGGAATAGGGAAGGGGGTTGGACATAGGGGTTTACAGGTGGTTTCACCAATGGTTTAACATGTTGTTGAACAGGTAGTGTGGCAGCGTGTCATATCCATTCCCGGCCATCGACTTCCGGTCCCTCTGTTCCCTCCGGTCTAACTCCGCTCCTCCTTCACTAACCTCGGAGCTCCCGTATTCCGCAATCCTCTCGGCACCCCTCGATGGTCACCACCCCCTCATTTCAACTTATTACCTACGCCTCCCTAAGTACGGAGCCCCGAAGACTTCCGGACAGCTCCGACGTCCGCTAGCGCATGCCCGCCTCCGCTGGGCAATACAATCGCCTGCCCTGCAGAGCCCACCTTCGGGCTTATCCCTCCTTTCCGTTTCTGGGTTATCGCCTGCCTTTCCGCTAACCCCACGACCCGACTCGTCGGTAATATTCAGTCGGCTAATGTTAACCCTGTTAGCTCTGCTCCGTTCGGCTCCGCCAATTGCGGACCCGTCTTCGCTGTAACCATATATATATCCCGCTTGTACATAGGTTACACTCCAGTAAAAAAAATCAACTAGAGTTCCCCCCTTAGGTTCTGATTGCCAGTCAGTAAGTTAGGGCACAGACATGTCACTAGGCACAGCGCTCTTGGCAGAAGTCGCTGAGGCCAAAGCCCTCCGCTACAGAGACACTCCCTCGTCTCGAATCCGGTCTCTGACACAGCGGGTTTTTGTTGATTAATGATTGGTTAAACTTAATTTATTTACATATCATGTGATTTGGATGTGTGCAGGGCCCATAAGAGTCTAAATTGGGAAATTTCCCATTTCCATAACAGTATGGTTATCCTGATGTTGAGGATGTCGATCAACATGCCTTACCTACAATGACATTCACGGTTTGTGAATGAAACGGCTGGCCCGGTGTTGGCCGAGAGCCCGTTTTGGGGACATGCATACCCCACAATTGAATTGGTTCTCACGGGGATGAAGGTGGTCAAACAGGTCAATATTTAGTGGAACCAAGGATTTCCGAATATTGTTGTAAAGCTTTGGCTATAGTGGTTACAAGATCAATATCGTGCTTCTCCATTTTATGAATTTTTAATCCATGTTCGTATGCTCTGGGCACTATCAAACAAATGATTATGATGAATAATCAGATATACTAGTAAGTACTTGGCTTGCTATGCATGTAATTGTTGTTCAAGAGTGTAAGATGGTCACTCTCTGAAACAGCAAATCGAGCTTTGCCAGCTTCAGCTTCGGCTTCGGCATGCCAGCCAGGGGAACGGGTGAAAACAAGGGCGCAAAAACTCATAGTCGCTCCATGCGCCCACCGGCCAGAAAGCATAGAAGCAATAGTCAAAACCTCATTGCTGCAAAAAAAAACCATCAACACTCAATATCAATAGCTTCGAACGGTGAGGAATAAAAGCATTAGATGCGGCAAGGAGCACGAATCTGGTATTACTGACTTGAGGATCCAGTGGGAACTCTGCCACAATTCTCCTGAGGTCTGTCAGATTCCTGCCATCATCCAATACACGAGATAGTCCAGCAACTCCAAAATACGCATAATCCCTTCTGGAGCTGGACTCACTATGCAATCAAATAAGGCTGAAGCAAGTGAGAATGTCCATGTATTTACACATGTTTGTGCCGACATTTCCAGTTCGTACCCTTCATGAGTGAACCTACAAAACCCCTCTGAGATGAGCGCAAAAAATCACGTGTTTGATGAATTTACACAAATATGAAAATGATGATATTTTTTTTGAATCCGCCAATTACAATGAAGGAAATGAATAGGATGCAAGCATGAAGACACACGGGCAGGGGCCCAGGCGCCTTCATAACTGTGGGGCATTTAACGGAAGGGAACAGAAAGTTGCATGCAGTAAGAAAAAAATAGTGGATGAAGGGGGGTGAGGGAATTGTGAGGCCAGTTTAACTATACATATATATGGTTCGGTCGAGGTCCCTGGTGATGGTGGTTTGGCTTAGCAGCCGGTGCCGGGTCCTCTTCAATCCCGTGTCTGGATGGGTCTTGGTTTGAGTCCTGTATGGTGTTTCTTTTTTTTTCTCCCTTAGAAAACTTTTAAGATGAAAAACTTCAATTCCAAGGGGTGATCAATGTCATGAAAAATGTACATTGGGCGGCTTTTGACTTCGTGATCAACCCCGGATCCATGGCTGAAATTAACACTTTATATATTACTTTTAGGACCAGATCCATGTGAGGTCTACTTGGTCTAGCGGATTATAGCGCTGTTTATGAGCCTGTCTCCCCCCTCCCCTGCTTGTGCAGGTTCAATTCATTCTTGGTGGATTTTTTTTTGCCACAGTTATTGCACAAGGATGACTTCAATGTATATATAACACCGATAAGCAATGCTACACTAACTGCACTAAACAAACCCTATTCCGAGCATGTTCTACAATACACAAGCGCTGTAATGGTAATTAATAATTTTAGTTTGGTAACTGGGTTGGGTTGGGGAATAACAGGGAGGGGACGATGAGACCGCACACAATGAATATTTATTACATAATAACGTCACATGTAGGCACTGGTCATTGGCTGGTTTCTAAATCAACTAGAGACCTTTAACCCGTGGGGTGCTCGTTCCTCGCACACCCACGCGTTTAGCGGTCTCTAGCTCCTGCGGAGGGCATCGGGGCTGCGCCCCGAACCCCCTGGGGCGTTGCCCCAGACCCCATTGGGGCTCCGCCCCATGCAACGACATCCTTGTTATTATTGTTCCCCATGTGCTAAAGAAATAATGAGATATATGGTGATTATTTATGCACCAAGGGGCCAGCCCCTTGAACCCCTGCTCCTGCGGAGGGCCATTGGGGCTGCGCCCCAACCCCCCCCCCTCCATTAATCATGCACAGAAATGAGAAAAGCCTATTCTTGTTCCCTTGTGCAAGTAAAGATGCATTAATCAATCAGAACATCATGATACACTACATTTGGTGTCAAACGATCATGTTGCCCAGGAGGGAAAATTACCTTAATCTTTTCAGGAGAAGTCACCCTTGATAGTGCCACATAAAGTTGTCCATGGCTGAAGCATGGTGCACGCAAATCAACCCCTACATTCTTCACAGACTGCCCCTGTGCCTTGTTTATCGTCATAGCAAATGCCAATGCAACTGGAAACTGGCGCCGTTGCAGGATAAAGTTCAATTGCCCCAAGTCTGATGGTGTGAGTGTCATTCTTGGAATGAATGCAACTTTCCCATGATGAAACCCTCCAAGGATGCGGGCTTGGATGACCCACCTTCCCAAATGCTCAACACACAGGCGTGTTCCATTGCAAAGTCCATCTGTCACTGAAAGGTTGCGCAGGAGAATAATTGGAGATCCCACTTTCAGTGCCAATTTTGAACGTGGAAGACCTGATGCATTGATGGAGTTAAGATACTCTGCTGGAATTGGTTCTGGATGATCAACACCCTCTTCAATGATAGCAGAATCTGCAGAGTCATAAATCGTCGACTCCCCTGGGAATTTCTCCAAGATCCGATCATTGATGTCATGGACATCAGCATTGCGTGGAGCAAGGATCATACGATCAGAAAAGTACTGATCTGGATGGTTAGGAGTGGCAATGTCAGGATATATGACTGTGATAAGGTCTTCAAGTGTGGCACCTCTTGAAATGACCATGGATTGGGGAAGTTGAACATGAGTTGGGGAGTGTTGGTTGCGTCCATGACCCAGATCAAGGAGCCATGCAGCGAATTGGATGACCTCAGGAAGTGCCCCATTCTCCAGACGCATATTCCGTGTCAAATGGAAGACCAAGAGGTTCCTCCAGATGGGAGATTTGCAGAGGGTTTTACGCACAATTGTTTCTCTTGAACCTTTTGGGATGACTGGCAAAACTTGCTGGAAATCTCCTCCAAACACCATGGTCACACCTCCAAATGGACGATTATTGTTGCGTAACTCCTGCAAAGTCCTGTCAAGAGCCTCAGGTAAATGACGTGACAGCATAGGAGCTTCATCCCAGATGCATAGCACGTTCTGGGTAGCGAGAATGTCACCTAATGGAGAATCACGACGGATATTGCAGGTGGAATCCTCATGTATCAGGAGTGGGATTTTGAAGGTAGAATGAGCTGTGGCACCATCATGGAGAAGAATAGCAGCTACTCCAGAAGAGGCAGTGCAAAACACGACTTCACCCCTGCCACGAATGGTCTTGGCAATGAGGTTGTAGAGGAAGGTCTTGCCTGTGCCTCCAGGACCATGGATGAAGTATACACCTCCCCTTTCATGCATAACAGCAGCAACGATGGCATCATATGCAATCCGCTGCTCAGCATTCAGCAATGGAAGTGCAGGATGAACCTCCTGACGAAGTGCATGATGGTCATAGCGTCTGTGCTGAGCTAAGAGAGGATTGCCAATGATGCAATCCCAGTCGATCTCTGAACAGGGCATAGAGGGAAAGGAGACAGCCATGTCTCTTCCAGCCTGACGCATCAACGCTTCGATCAAGTGAAGGCCATAGTCATAGACCTCTTCCTGGGTTGGTACTTCACGCAACTCCCTCAGGATAAGGATTCGTCGGAGGTCATCACAGATACTGGGACGGAACTCATTCCAGAGGGCTTCAGGCTGAGTGGGATTGCAGTGGAGGAGGATGGAGGTGAAGAGTCGGCGAAGTGTCGATCCAGTTTGAAGGAGAGCTGCTTCCCTGAGGCAAAGACGCCATTCACCATCATCTTCAAGCAGTCCACGGGCAAGACAGGCTTGGCGAAAGGTTGGATGGATGATGCCATCGACAGTCCTGAGACTCTCAAAGCCAGTGGCACCACGAACGACTGTAAGCAGCAGCCTAAGGTAGAAGCGTTCACCTGAAGCTGGTGCAGCTGCATACATACGTCCAATGGCAAAGAAAGGCCGAGCACGTGGCTTCCAAACCTTGTCTCCCTTCATCCAGACAAAGTGCTGGGGAAACTCCTGATAGAGGAAGCGCCTTGCATAACCTCGAATGAGTGGATTGGAATTGGCCTTTGATAGAAAAAAATTAGTTGATGTTGTACAGAAAAATGAAAATTACTCACTGCAAAGTAGGCTGTGAGTTTTGTCTGCTGATTGCGCCTCAGAATCTCCTCAACGTTATCTTCTTCATTGAACACAACATGCTGCATACCCTCCTCATGCACAGGGAGACGGACGATGTTGGGCTTGTGGACATGAAGCTCATACTCCATGAAGCGCCAGAATGCCTCACATGCACCAATCCACCGAGAGTCCAGGTAAATCTTGACTTCATCTTCCCCAAGCACAGCAGTTGCACGGTCTGGTCCCTTCACCATGTACTTGTGGATGTACTTGGTCCCTTATATTGTAGGGAAATTTAGCATTTGCATATCAACGACAGCTGAAAAGGATGCTCACCTCCATATATGTTTGCACAGAACTCTACATTGACATGGCATCCCAAACGGAGCAAGAGATGGGGGTTGTAGGGGACGACATGCCTGTTGGTCAGCTGTTTGCCAGCCTTCTCAACTATCCTTCCATCATCCCGACGACGATAGGTTGGATAACCACCTTCATCCAAGGTTGTAGAATCTTGAAAGGGTTTGGGAAAACCTTTCTCACAATGTCCACCATCATCAAGGCAGCGGTTGCGATCACAGACATGGATCATGCACTGGACGACCAATGCATATAAGGCAGGCTCTGTCTGTGGATCAGGGATTTCAGCCCTGATAACAGCATCGATGTCGTTTCCATCCCTTGGCTGGTGCTCATTTTGGACCCAAATGAGGATATGAGCATGGGGAAGGCCACGCTTCTGGAACTCGATGACATGGACATGTGCAATTGTCTTGCCAAAGAGAGGATCTTTGTCAAGATCTTTGAGGAATTTACGTAACTTCTGATAGAAGACTCGACAAACAATGTCCGGTCTGTCAGAAGCTTTCTGGCCAGGTTCGAGAGCAGCTTGGATCTCTGGCCATTGGGGATTGGCTGTGATGGTGACAAAGTACGATGCAAAGCCAAAGAAGCGGGTGATGGCCATGGAATCTTGGAAGAGCTGGAGCATATTGCGAGTGCTGCCAGGGTGGGAGGATGGAAGGATGATTCGATGGCCAACCTGAGCAGGGTCTTGGTCATTGCGAACAGCATCGATGAGGCCTTGGTAGCATTCTGCACGAATGGCCCTCTGATTTGCCCTGACCCAGTTGAGTCGCATTTGCTCATTTGCAGCCCAGTGATCGACCAAATACTGCAGGAATAAGCGGCCTACAATAACATGTGAGTAAAGTGATCATATATATGGTTTTAGAATTACATACCACCATGTAAAAGAAGGCTTGAGTCTGAGACCCACTGACCATTCTGATTTTGGATCTCACGCTTGAACAGGCGATAGGCATGGAATCGGGTGTGAGTGACTTTTGTGACCTTCCTCCGCACCACAGCGATGCCTGGTTCCTCATCATCATCACCATCGTTGTTGCGCTCCTCATCACGACCTTCATCCTCATCAGCAGCTTGGGCATCATGGAAAGGAATCCCCAGATGCCAACCACACTCTCCATATGGAAAAAGAAGGACGTAGTGGAGGGGAGTATAGGCAGGGTGGGACTCAGAGATACGCTGAAGTGGGCCACCGACTCGATGCAAAATGATGTCACGTGTGTTGTCAGCATCTGTACCATCGCCAGGAATGATGGCTGCGATCTCATCCACAACAGGTGCATTGTAGCGCCGTTGATCTTGGTGGATGTCAACATGAATCCGTAGAGGGAGGTTACGCTGATCAGGAGGGGTGTTATGCATTCGCTCATGCCCAGTTCTGTTTTACATATATATAAGTGCA